CCGCCCACTCCAGCACGCGGGGCGCACGCGCGCGCGCCTCCTCATATGCTTTCTGATGCAATATCTGGGCGACTTCCGCGTCGGCCCCCAGGTCCCGAGACACGCGCTCGAGAGTGGCGGCGTTCAAAGCGTCCGCCCGGCCGCGCAGCTCGGACGGGCACGCGGGCTCCTTCGGGGCCACGTCCGCGTTCATGCCCGAACGCGGCAGGACCCCGACAAGCTGGAACCCTTCTTCCAAATCGCGCGCCAAATTAATGTCGGGCGCCTCGCGCACGAGGCCGCGCTCCGCCGGCGCGTGCCCGCGCCGCGTCGCGGGCCGCCCCAGCGGCTTGCATCATCTCGGCCAAGAGCAACAAATTCTTGTCAGGCCCAAGAACGGAACGCACGTTCCATGGTAATCTCGCATAGCGCGCCTCCCCGCAAGCGCGCTCCCTGGCTGAACTCGGCGCGCGATGCGGGCATGCTGGGTGGCGCCTTCCATGCTGGGGCCGTCACACGCGTGCGCTCCTGCCAGAACTGCAGGGCCGCCTCGCGCCTCTGATGCAAGAGCTGCTCGGCCGTCTGGCTCGCTGCCACCGCCGCGTCGCGCGCAGGCCCGGCGAGCGGCGCCATTTCGCTGACCCGCGGCAGATGCGCCGCCCAGGCCACATGGCAGAGGGGGCCCATGCCCGCCCTCCTGCCTTCGTCGACAAGCAGTGCTTCCACGGCGGCTCTGACCTGACCGCGCGCGGCAACGCGGCGGCGTTTCGATGCGCCTTCGGCGGATGATGGTTGCGGGCCTCTTCGAAAGCGCAGCCGGCATCGTGAATTTGCTGGGGGCGCAGATCGCCGCCCCCGCCCCCGACATCGTTGTCGGAATCGGCATTCGCGCCCTGCGCTGCGCGCGCGCGGGCGGGGCAGTCCCGGCCGCGGCGCAATCGCGGCGCCTCCTGTCCCTCGGGCGACGGCCCACGCCACGCTGCGCTCTCACCGCTGTCGGCAGAGCGCAGTGGGGGAGCCCCGTCGCCGACGCGGCTCGTCGCGCGACAATCACGCAGGCGCGCTCGCGGGTCGCGCCTTCGGCGAGCGAATAATTAATATGCAAAGCGCCAGCGCTCTGGCGTCACCACCGCCAGGCATCGGCCGTCTCGGGCCTGTTCCACGAGCTCCCCGCGTCCTCGGAAGCCCCTCCTTTGCCAGGCTTGCCGTTTCCTTTGTTGCCGGCTTTGCCAGATGCGTCACGGCGCGGGCTGCGCGAACGCCGAAGAACGGGGCTCCTCGGGACCCTTGGCCCGGGCCTCGCCGCCTCGCGCGTCGTGACGCGCGCGCGCGTCCGCGGGGCGCTCGCGCGCGGGCGCGCCTGGTCGCGCCGGTCGCTGCCGCCCTTCTTGCCCCCGCCCTTGGCGATCGACGCCTGGCGGTCCGACTGCTCGACTCTCGCCTGGGGCGGGCAGCCCAATACGCGTTGCCCGCGCGGCCCTGCCCGAATCGCTTCGCACCTTAGCGGCGCGCAGGATGTCCCGCGACAACACGGTGAACGCGGCCGTCGAGGCTTCATCGCCGTGCCCCAGATCTTTCGCCACCTTCTGGCGGAGCAGCAAATCGCACGCATATGATACCTGCGCGCGGCGCGGCCCCGCCCGCGCAGCTTCGGGCGGCGGCCAAGCCGCTTCGCGCCTAACCTTGACGCCCCCGCGCTCTTCACTCACGCGCGCGAGCTGATACATGTATCCCAGCAGCACGACGGAATCAAACACCTTGGACAATATGCAGCGAAGCCCCCACTCCATCACGTGGGCCTCGCGCGACTGGGCCCGCGCGGGCGCTCGCGTCCCGCCGCTGCGCGCGCGGCCTGGAAGTGCGCGTAACCGAGAGAATCCATTCGGTCCAGGGATGCCCCCGCGCGGTTAGCCGCGGTGATGGCCGACGCGCGATCGCGCCACGAGCCTGGCCCCGCTGGCACCGAATCCTGCCTCGGCGCCCGCGCCCATTGGGGCGCGCAGTGGTCCTGCGCGTGGAACGGAGACATCGGAGCGAGGACCGGCCGCGACGCGCGGCGCCAAGCCAGGGCGCCTGCAGGCTCTCGCCCTCGACGCCCCCAATATACGAGCGGCCATTCTTCTGGGCCGCTCGACCCGCAGACGCGAACTTGCGCATCGACTCTTCCGTCGGCAACCCTTCGCGGGGGAAGCTTCCGAGCCTAGCCTCGCGCGCGCGGTCCTGCGGAAGCGCCCCCCCCCCTTCGCTCGGCGGCCCCCGCGCGTGCGGAACACGCTGCTCCTCCGTGGCGAACGCCAAGGGCTTCTCTTTCTTGTCTTCCAGTAATTCCTTGCTGGCCCTCACGTAATCTTCCATGGCTGCCGCGATACGTGCCGTTTCTTCCGCGGGCTTGGCGGGCGCCTCCGCCGGGGCCGATTGCCCGCCTTGGCGCCACGTCGCGCGCCGACCCGCGCCCGCGCGCGCGGTCGGGGCGGGGGCCTGCGGCCCGAAGGTCGAGCACGCCTTCGACTGCGCCCGCAACGCCATATTGACGCGGCACGGCTTGATGGCGAAATCGCGCCACTCCGCGGGCCTGTCTTCCGCAAACGGCTTCGCGCCCGGCTTGAGGGCCACATTCAATATCTCGCGCATGGATGCGTCCGAGTAGTCAATCGGGCGGACCGCCCCGACCGCTTCGGCCATTAGGCGCGCGACCGCGGTGCACAGGAACAGCGGCGCCTCTTCCCCGTCCACCGCGTTGGCCTCGGCGACGAAGAGGACCCAATCGGCCTCGCACGCAACGCAGGCAGGGAGGCCCCGCGCGGGATTTCGCACGCGAGCCCTGATGGCGGTCTTGTCGGCGCCGAAAGCGCCAGCGGGCAAACCGCCGATCAACTCGACGATTTTCTCGCGAGGCAGCGCCGCGGTCGCTTGGCGCGCGTTGGGGCGCGTCGCGCACGAGCTAATCGGCTTCCCTCGCGCGCGCTGGCAAGAGCCAGCATGCGGCACTTCGCAGGCACACTGCAGATTGGGGGCCGGCATACGGCGCGCACACGCAGGCATATTGCCGCATTCGCAGGCACACTGCGCCATGGGGAAGGGCCGGCGTACGGCAAGTCGCAGGCATACTGCAGACTGGGGGGGGGCCGGCATACGGCGCGCACACGCAGGCATCTTGCCGCATTCGCAGGCATACTGCGCATTGGGGAGGGGCCGGCATACGGCACGTCGAAGGCACACTGCAGACTAGGGGGCCGGCATACGGCACGCACACGCACGTATATTGCCACGCTCGCAGGCATACTGCGCCATGGGGAAAGTCCGGCATACGGCCCGTCGCAGGCATACTGCAGACTGGGGGGGGGCCGGCATACGGCACACACACACACACACACACACGCAGGCATACTGCCACATTCGCAAGCATATTCCTGCCGACGCGACGCGCGACGGCAAGGAGGGAGGGGGTGGCCGACATGGCACCCACGCGAACCTCGTGCGCCGTGACAAAGACATAGAAGAGAATCCTGACTTTTCGAGCCCGGCAAACGACGAGGGAATCATCACCTGCGCGGGAAATCCTGACCTTTCGAGCCCGGCAAAACGACGAGGGAATCATCACCTGCGGCGGGGGGGGGAGGAGGAGGGAGGAACCTGCGAACAGCGGAAGCATAGCGCGCGGGGAGGAAGAGGGGGAATCGGAACCTGCGCAGGAGGAGGAGCGACGCGGAGAGCCGCCAGCGCGCGCGCGCGGAATCAATTAGCCAAGGCAGCAAGGCACGCGGCGCGTCGGCGAACGGCGCGTCGCGGCACGGAGGCCGGTGCGCGCGCGGCGTGCGACCCGCGCCCAACTCCCGAGCGCGGGGCGCTAGACCTTTCCTGTGGCCCCGAAAACGCATCCCCGAATGCGGGACGGCCAGGCGAATCCCGAATCGCGAAAGCCTGCGCCGCGGACGCGCCCGCGGGCGCGCAGGAGGGGGATTCCCCTCAGCCAACACTAGCCGTCCCGCAGCATCGGATGAGCAAGAAGAATAGCATGACAAGGGCCGAACGCACCGCCGCGACTTCTCCCCGCGCCCAAGAGCTGCCCAGGGCGCCCATACAAAAGGTTATTAGAACATTGTTTGGTAGGGCTATATCAGGAGCGAAAGAGGGACGCACATGTACATGAATCCACGCTGGTTTCGAGAGTTCGAATTGCGCGAATGTTCGTATCGCGCGGCAGGTCTCGCGGGTCAAGGGGCCGCGTTCATGCACATAGCTGGGCGCGTACGTCCTTTGTGTGCTGCCTAGTATAGGCGAGCCAGGACGCTTCGCCGCTTCTTGATGCCGGTGGCCCCGAGGCTCCAGGCTCCCCGGCCGCGAGCCGCGCGAGCGCGCGAGCGCCGGGCGCGAGGGGGGGGCCGTGCGCGCGGGGGGGGCGGGGGGCTCCCCTCCGCGGCCGGCCCGCTGGTGCTCCGCGGGGGGGCGAGGGGGGCAGGCGAGGGGAGGGGGGGGGGGGGGGGGGGAGGGGGAGGGGAAGGGGGGAAGGGGAGGGGGGAGGGGGGGGGCCCAAGATCCTCCCACTGGGAGTAGAGATATATATATATATATATATATATAGAGAGAGAGAGAGAGAGAGAGAAAAAAAAAAAAAAAAAAAAAAAAAAAAAAAAGAGAGAGAGGAGAAAGAAAGAAAGAGAGAGAGGAAGAACAGACAGAGGCAGAGACAGAGACAGGGAAAGAGGCAGAGGCAGAGACAGAGACGGAGGCAGAGTCAGAGACAGAGACAAAGACAGAGGAAGAAAGAGTTCGGGAGAGAGAGAGAGAGAGAGACGGACAGACGGACGGACGGACGGACGGAGGGGAGAGGGGGTGGGGGCTCTCTCTCCTCCTCCTCCCCAGGGACGCCCATTACGCACCCCCTGGGGGATGAGAACAAGGTGCTCCGATTGACGAGGAGGGGGGAGGCCAGAGGGGGGGGGATGCGCAGGGCAGGAGACGCGGGCGGGGGGCGGACATCCGGCCCGCAAGGGAGGCCGCTCGAAGAGGGCGCGATGAGCCTCGCCCGCCTCGGCCGCCTCCTCGCCGCCGTCCTCCCGCTGGTCGCCGAGGGCGTGGGAGAACCTGCAGGCCGCTCCTCCGGGGCAGGATTGGCGAGAAAAGGGGCCTCCTCCTCCTCTTCCTCCCTCCTCCTCCTCCCTCCCTCCCCCCCCTCCCCCCCCTCCCCCTCCCCCTCCCCCCCCCTCCCTCCCCCCCCTCCCCTCCCCCTCCCCCTCCCCCCCCTCCCCCTCCCCCTCCCCCTCCCCCTCCCCTCCCCCTCCCCCTCCTCCTCCTCCTCCTCCTCCTCCTCCTCCTCCTCCTCCTCCTCCTCCTCCTCCTCCTCCTCCGCCTCCGCCTCCGCTCCTCCTCCTCCTCCTCCCTCCTCCTCCTCCTCCTCCTCCTCCCTCCTCCTCCTCCTCCTCCTCCTCCTCCTCCTCCTCCTCCTCCTCCTCCTCCTCCTCCTCCTCCTCCTCCTCCACCTCCTCCTCCTCCTCCTCCTCCTCCTCCTCCTCCTCCTCCCTCCCCTCCTCCTCCTCCTCCTCCTCCTCCTCCTCCTCCTCCTCCTCCTCCTCCTCCTCCTCCTCCTCCTCCTCCTCCTCCTCCTCCTCCTCCTCCTCCTCCTCCTCCTCCTCCTCCTCCTCCTCCTCCTCCTCCTCCTCCTCCTCCTCCTCCTCCTCCTCCTCCTCCTCCTCCTCCTCCTCCTCCTCCTCCTCCTCCTCCTCCTCCTCCTCCTCCTCCTCCTCCTCCTCCTCCTCCTCCTCCTCCTCCTCCTCCTCTTAGCCGCTTTGGCCCAAGTGATTCTTGGGCTTGCAACTGCCGTCTTCAGAGCGGCAATCGCAACTGCGAGCCAACGGCTCGGTTTTCAGTTCAGGCCGAGGGACCTCATCCCTCCAGTATCCACGCGCCGTGTGCAGCCGCATGGGGCAAGACCCTGATGTCCTACCAGGCCCGAAGGCGCCTATGTGGGGATGTCCATCCTGCGGGCGCAACAGCAACTTCGCGTCCCGCATCAAGTGCCTGCGCGGGAAGAAGGCCCCGCAGGCAATCACCGACAAGGCTAAGAAAGCAGCAGCGGAGCTCCAGTCGGCCCCCCGTGGCAAGCCACCTCGTGCTCCTGGTGGCGCTTGGGCTCGTGGTCCTCCGCAGGATGCTTCCAACTCAGTGGTGCGATCCATCAGTGCTCTGCAGAAGCAGATGGAATCCCTCGTCATGCAGTTCGGCCAGCAGGCGGGCAGCCGCCCACAGCCCGCAGGCGCACCACCAGATGCTGCAGATGGAGGAGGCGCTGACATGGCCAGTGACGAGGTCACCAAAGTGTTGTCGGCCAAGATCAAGTCCTTGGAGAATACCCTCCAAGGGATTCGAAGCGATGAGCAGTTCCCTGTCGCCATCAAGCAAGCCATGGAGAAGGAGCTGGCTGATGCGCGCAAGGAGTTCAATTCTACAAAGCCTTCTTTGTCGCGCCACACGGCGCTGGGCCACAAGTTGCAGAGGTCCAATGCCAAGCTGGAGCGCCTCGACGAGGATATCAAGACCCAGCAGGCCCTCATCCAGGCGGCTCAGGCTGAGCTGCAGAAGATGGAGGAGAAAGCCAAGCTGGTCAGAGTGGAGATCGAAGCCACCAAGCTGGAGCTCCAGTCTACCATGGCGCAGGTGGCCCCGACCAGCGCGGTGCCAACATGTGTCCTGGACGCGGACGCGGTCAAGGATAAGCCTGAGGTGCAGCAGCTCATGGCCTCCCCGCAGTTCGCCGAATACCAGAAGTTGTTCGAGCCGCAGTGCCAGGCTCGGGCAGCCCAAGTTCCTCCTCCTCCCTCGGCCCAGCGGGCTCGGGAGGGGACCCTGGTGGCCCCGGTACTCAATGGGCCAGTGGAAGTGATGGGGGTAAGAACATCCCCACTCCCATGGACACAGCTTTGGAAGATATTCCGGATGAAGGCACTGACAAACTTATCGAAGCTGCCAGGTCAGAGGAAGATAATAAGCGTGCCTTCGGAGATCTTCTCAAGCAGTTGGGCGTTCAGGCCAAGAAACAAAAGGGTGGGTGACACTATGTTCGACGGCCCAGCTCCCAAGTGTTGTGGCATTCCTCTCTCCTGCACAGGTGCTCCCGTCCCACCTCTGAAGGGAGCCCCGTCCAGGTCCAATACTGAGATTGGACAGTATCCGGTTGAGAGTTTCAACGGTTCCTGCTGGGCCACGCTCAAGCGGCGCTTGCGCGAGAGCTCGGCGATTCTCCTTTGTGCGCAGGAGGTCGGCATCAGTGCGGACTTCATCGGCAGGGCCAGCGACAAGGCACGACGTCTTGGCTGGCATGCTCTTTTTGCCCCAAGCTACCTCAACCCAGAGACTGGTAAGTTCTCGGCAGGTGTTGCTATCTTTGGAAGATTGAGTATTGGCATCAGATGGCCCCCTGAAGGTGAGACCCCAGTGGCGCCCCATCGTATACTCAAAGTTTTGGTTGATTTCCCTGGATGGCCGACGTTATCGCTGTTCTCGGTTTACCTGAAGTCGGCGGAAGGACTAGGGCCCATCAACACGGTTCTGCTGGCCCAGTTGGGCCCTGCTATCTCGGACCCTACCCACTCGATCGTGGCAGGCGATTTCAACATGTCTCCTGAGGTTCTGGAAGGCTCTGGGTTCGTTCGGAAGCTAGGTATGCTCACGACGGCCCCGATGATGCCCACATGCAGGTCCCCGACTTCCAGTACGATTATTGACTTCCTCTTGGTAGGTCCTGGAGTGGCTCGGCTGGTCCAAGGGGTCGCTGCCGACACATCTTGGGAGATCAAGCCCCACCGTCCAGTGTCACTAGCTATTCGTCCAGACGCTTTGACGGTCAAGCAGCTGGTCTACCGCAGCTTCCAGAAGTTACCCCTAGAGCTACCTTTTGGGCCTCGTCCTGCTGGGGGATGTTGGGAAGGCGCCCGTCACCTCGCAGTGCATGCAGTTGCACGTGCGCGACACAGCCCTGCTGGCGAGGCCTGGGCTTGCTTGAATGCCGCGTGGCGCTTCTTCGTCGATTGTGCAAAACTCGAGCTGGTGAGATTTCTGGGAGTGGAGCCCAAGTCCTTGGGGGAGCGTGGTAATACCATCAAGGCCTCATGGGCCCCAGTGTTCTACAGGCCGAAACTTGCAGATGATCAGCTCCAGGTCTGTTCAGGATGGCGATGGCTCCATCATGCTTTTGCCGTGTTTTTGCTGGCCACCGAGAGCCTCGCCGATGGCGAGTCCCAGGCAGCGATCCTCAAGGTGTCGCTGCAGCATTCATGCCCAGGGGAAGGTCTCAACATCCGATTGGATGCCTCCCTCCGTGAGATGAGGCAACTCGCGGCTGAATGGCGTTCAGACCTTCCCTGCATGCACGAGTGGCGCGCGAGAGCTGATTCTTTCTTGGATACTATTGCCGAGGACCTCTCAGATGCCAATGACTTAGGGGACAAGCTCCAAAAGCAGTCGTGGGATACCTGGCAAAAGGAGGCCCTTGCAGGGTCGGCTCGGATGATGCATCGTTTCACGAAACTGCAGCGGAAATGGCAACCAACAGTTGCGCAGGTTGCCCCAGGGATATACTCTGCGGACCCTGTCAAGCTCCTGGAGGCTGAAACGGTTAAGCTGGGAGGTTTCTGGAAGGCCTCGTTGACCCCGCCAGAGGCTTGGATTCCAGACCGTAGGTGTTTCGAACGAGCGACCCCTGATCAGATAAGGATGGCATCGAGGTCGTTCAGCACTCACACGGCACAGTCTCTGGACTCCTTGCACGTGCGCCACTTATGCCTCCTGAGCGACAGCGCCCTGGGGGCGATGTCGCTTCTTTTCGAGGCGATCGAGCGTCTTGGCCTGTTCCCGTCGCAGTTGCTTTGGATGTTGCTGCCACTCCTGGAGAAGCCCAAGGGAGGATTGCGCCCTATTCTACTTCTAGCTGCACCAGTTCGTATCTGGGAGCGCGAGGCGTCCTGAGGTGGATGAGTTTCTGGAGCGGGCTCATCGGCCCTATTGGTCTTTCGGCGCTGGGCAGTCCTCGGAGGCGACCGTCTGGAAACAATGTCTGTTGGCTGAAGCAGCGGCCAGTAGCGGGGACGTCACGGCGGGGTTCATCTGGGATGGGCAAAAATACTACGAATCCTTTCGGTTGGCTTGGTTGAGGGCCCGAGCTGAGTACTGGGGTATCCCGCGAGTCCTCACCAAGACCCTGTACAATCTATGGCGCAGCCCTAGGATCCTCCGACTCGGGGCCCATCACAGTCCTTTGCTGCAGTTTGCAGAATCAGGATTGCCAGCAGGTGATATTTTCAATGACGTGTTTGTCAAGGTGTATTCAATGTTTGAGTTTGATCAGTTTTGTATTCGCAACCCGCAGATATCGCTCGGATCATGCATCGATGATGACACTGTGACGATGTCTGGCGATTCTGATGCAGTAGTTCGCACGCTGACCTCGGCCGCTGCAGATTTGAAGTGGGTATTTGAGGAGCGCCTTGGTGTGAAGTTGGCCGCTGACAAGGCCACCACCTTCGCGACGAATCAACGTGTTGCGCATCGTTTGGCCAGGAGGATTGCTTGTCACTGCCCCTTCCGTGCCCAGCAATGCCGTCGTCTCTTTGGGCTGCGACCTGGCCCCAGGACAGCGCAGCGAGTGTAAAGGCGGGGTCACCCAGCGTAAGACACGGTTTCAAGCTATGAAGCAAAGAAGAAAGAGGGGGGGAGAAAAACAAAAAAAACAAAAAAACACAAAAAAAACAAAAAAAAAAAAAAAAAAAAAAAAAAAAAAAAAAAAAAAAAAAAAAAACACGTCATGGTTTCATCAGGTATGTCAGAAAGAAGCTTCCACGGGATCGGTCTCGGATGAGCAGAATTTACATCTCTGGAGTTCGACCTGGGGCAGGATACGGCTCAATGATCCTGGGGATGTCAGATAAGGAACTGGCTGAGCTCAGGGCTGTTCTTCTATCAGGACTGACGCCAGCACACCGCGGTGTATCGATCATGGCGAAGGTCTGCATTCACGGCGACCCCGCCTGGCAGCAGGCGACGGCCCCTGCTAGACAGTGGGCACCCAGCCTTTGGCGCAGTCTGACGACGCCGAGCACGAGCCCCCTCTCCCTCCGAGACCACATCAGGATCTGGAGGTCTCTGGAGGCACAGCAGCTAGCTTTGGGACCCCAACAATGGAGATACTCCCGAGGCCCTGGACATCGAATGCTTCTGAGTTTGCATCGGATAGGTTGACAGGCTCTTAACTTTAACCTTTGGCGTGATGACTTAGGTAGAGCTGTAGATCTAATGTACACTTCCCCTACAATGATCTCCAGTTTGTTGCAAGAAGGAGTGCAGTGTGCCCACGAACGTAGGCTTGCGGAGTCCACCCCCTCCTTCGTCGGTGAGCGTGTGTCGGTCGACCCCCTTCGCTCTTTCCTCCGCTCGAAGCGAGCCTCTCCGCAAGCCAAGTACTGGGTGTGCGCGTGTTTCTCCAAGGGCTGCTGGACGGCCGACCGGTTACTTGAATCAGGCTACGTTGCTGATGGCAAATGCCCACGTTGTGGCCAGCCAGATTCGACTTTCCATCGTCAGTGGCTCTGTGATGATTTGGAGGTTGCCCAGACCCGTGCAGAGGCGATCGCCCAGGATACCATAGATGCTGCACGAGCGAGCCCCCAGAAGAACATGTTTTCTGGTCTCGCCTGATGATGGCCCAGCCAGATTTAGAGGCATTCCCTTTCCCCTCGACGGCGACGGACCCTCTCCTTCAGGACGGCGACGGCAGGCCATTATCACTCCAAGAGTTTGTAGAGCTAAGCGGGAGTTGCGACGTAGTCGTGGACGGCTCGGCTACGCAGTGCATCATAAAATATGTACGTCGAGCTAGTTTTGCCGCGGTTTTCCTGGAGCCAGGTCCTGAGTACAAGATCAGGACCCGACTCATGGCCCCAAGTTGGCCAACGATCCCGCAAACTCCCCAGGCGGCGGAAAATGTTGGTCTTGCCACTGTTTGTGCGTTCACGTCTAGTTTGAGCACCCTTCACAGTGATTGCAAAGGGGGCATCCGTTTGCACAATGCTGCGGATGCGGCCCAGCTCGGGCCCAAGCATATGTTTGCGGGAGTGCGTAGGGCTGCGCAGCAGGCTTTTGGTTTCGACGCCGCGGGCGAGGCCCTTTACACCCCAGCCCACAGATCGGAACAAGTAATTCAAGAGCTCCCACCAGAGGAGCGCAGGACTGCTCTGGGCAATGCCGACGCCGACCGATTGGCGAAGCATGCACTCTCCCTTCACCCCCAAGCGTCAGCTGCTGATCTGGCTGAGCTGGATAGGCGGGTGAAGCTCCTTCTGGACTGTGCGAAAATGTTCGGGGCGGTGCTCCCGCTTTTTTCCAAGATAGATGTTGTTCGGCCCCCTCCCGCGGCCCGCCTCCCAAAGGTGAAGACACCGCCAGACTGGCACGAATGGGAGGAGCTCGAGGACGGAGTGGTTTTTCGTTGCAGCATGTGCTTTCTGGTCTCTTTCGAGAGCGATGCCCGACCTATGAACGGTTGTTCTGGGCCCCCTACTGCTCTCAGACGCCTCGAAGGTGCTGAGACAGAGAGGCGCCATCGGTTGGGCTTTGCTGTGCTAACGGAGGCCCGCAAGCCGTTTTTTTTCTGTACCAGGTGTGGGGCGTACACCAGCAGACGCTGCCACTTGCTCGGCCAGATGTGTCTCGGAGAGCCTGGCACCTCAGGAGAAGGTGCCATCAAGCGCATTCGAGAGGGCCTCCATCCCCATTATCGTACGAATCCTGAGGGTGATGATGCTGTTGCACCATGCAGGCCGCCGCCTAAGTCGGTGCTCCTGGCCCCTCCTGGCCCCGCCTCAGCAGGCAAGGCTCGCTTGGTCGACAACGATCGGCTGCGGGCCCTGGCTGAGCGCATTCGGGCCAAGGAGGCAGCCGCATGATCGCGGCCACAGATCGGGATGTTCTGCCTCAGGCTGTCTGGTCCTCCTCCTCCTCCTCCTCCTCCTCCTCCTCCTCCTCCTCCTCCTCCTCCTCCTCCTCCTCCTCCTCCTCCTCCTCCTCCTCCTCCTCCTCCCCCTCCTCCTCCTCCCCTCCTCCTCCTCCCTCCTCCTCCTCCCTACTCCTCCTCCTACTCCTCCTCCTCCTCCTCCTCCTCCTCCTCCTCCTCCCCCTCCCCCTCCTCCTCCTCCTCCTCCTCCTCCTCCTCCTCCTCCTCCTCCTCCTCCTCCTCCTCCTCCTCCTCCTCCTCCTCCTCCTCCTCCTCCTCCTCCTCCTCGCTCGGCGGGGGCGAGCGGCGCCGTCGTCGACAGCGGCGCCGAGGGGCTCTCCCTGCCTGCGCGGCGTCGCCAGCCCGCTCGACGCACAGCTTGCGCCCCTCGTCTTCGCCGACTCGCGGCGAGGATTCGGTTCGATCGAACCCTCACCGCAGGCATCCCAGAAACCTTTTCGGAGATGCCGACGTTATCCACGGTATCGGTGGATGTAGTCGCCACGGATGCAGACGTCGACGCACAAGCAGACGCACACGTGGGTCCAGCAAGAGCTGTTGCCAAAGCATAAGTTGCGATGGCACGCAGGAGCGGTAGAGATATCAACAGCCGTAATGGTAGTCACAGCGCCAGCGAAATGGAAAGAAACGGAATCAGAAGCGTGATGTACCAAACAAGCAGAACACGAGATAGACGTAGTAGTCCTGATAGGAGGAGCAGCAGTCGAAGCAGTGAGCAGCACATTATCCTGCTCAACCTGATCTCTCTGCTCACCTTTCTATGACTAATCCTCATTCCTCCCCTTCTCTTCCCCATCGTTATCCTCCCCCAGCTCTTCGCAATCCGATTATCGTTGCGTATCTGCCAACCCTTATCCACCTCCACGTCGTCAGACCTCTCCTCATGTTACTCTTCTTCACCGTCAGCATCGTCATCATCGTCATCAACAGCATCATACTCAGAATCAGAACCAGCATCAACAACAACAACGACAACAACAACAACAACATCATCATCATCATCATCATCATCAGCAGCATCAGCATCACCATCATCATCATCGTCATCAGCATCATCATCATCAACAGCATCAGCATCGTCAACGGTATCAGCATCATCATCATCATCATCAGCATCAGCATCATCATCAGCTGCATCAGCATCATGATCAGCATCAGCATCATCGTCGTCATCAGCAGCAGCAGCATCAGCATCAGTATCATCATCATCAGTACCAGTATCAACATCATAATCATCCGAATCACCATCATAATCAGAATCAGCATCATCATCATCATCATCATCATCATCATTATCATCACCATCATCCTCATCATCATCATCAGCATCATCATCGGTATCATCATCAGAATCAGCATCACCACGACCACCACATTCATCATCACCATCAGCATCATCATCTACATCATCGCCTTCACCATCATCATCCACAAACGCTCATCATCACCAGCATCAGCATCTGCATGCTCGTCATCATCATGATCGGCAGCATCATCATGATCAACATCATCAACAGCAGCATCACCAACATCATCAGCAACAGCAGCATCATCATCAGAACAATAATCGTCATCGTCATCATCCTCAGCATAATCATTATCATCACAGCCATCCTCATCAGTCTCGCATCATCATCCATCAGCAACATCATCAGCAGCAGCATCATCACCATCACAGCCATCGGCATCATCACCACCATCATCACCACCATCATCACCATCACCATCATCATCAACAACATCAGCATCATCATCACCAGCATCAGCATCAGCATCAGAATCATCATTAGCAGCAGTAGCATTAGCAGTACCAGCAGCATCAGCATCAGCACAATCAGCATCACCATCGGCATAGGAATCACCACAAGCATCATCATCAGATGCATCATCATCATCAGCATCATCATCATCATCGTCACGGTCATCATCGACATCCTGCTCATCATCATCATCATCATCACCATCAGAATAAGTATGTTCATGGTCAAAATCACACTAATAATCATAATAATATTCATAATCATACCAACAATAACAACAATAATAATGATAATAATGGTCATTGCCACTACCATCATCATCATCATCATCATCATCATCATCATCATCATCATCATCATCATCATCATCATCATCATCATCATCATCATCATCATCATCATCATCATCATCATCATCATCATCATCATCATCATCATCATCATCATCATCATCATCATCATCGTAATCAGCATCATCAGCAGCAGCATCAGCAGCAGCAGCATCGTCATCGCTCCTCGCTGCTCGCACCTCGCTCCTCGCTCATCACTCGTCGTCCTCCTCCCCACCTCCTCCTCCTCCTTCTCCTCGTTCTCCTCCTCCACCTCCCCCTCGCTCTCTCTCTCTCTCTCTCTCGGCCTGAGGGTCATCCTGACGCGGCCATTCTTCCTCCTCCTGCTCCTGGTCCCCGCCTCCTCCTCCTCCTCCTTATCCTCCTCCACCTCCTCCTCCTCATTGCTCGTCCTCCTCATCCCTCCTTCTCCCCTGCCTCGCTCGTCCTGCCCCTCCGCTTTCCACGTATCCTCATCCCCCCCCCTTCTCCGACGACGACGGCGACGACGGCGCAAACCACGACGACGATGACGACAACGACGGACGACGACAACGACGACGACGACGACGACGACGACGACGACGACGACGACAACGACGGACAACGGACGACGGACAACGGACGACGGATGACGGACGCCAGATGACGGACGACGGACGACGGACGACGGGCGACGGACGACGGACGACGGACGACGACGACGACGACGACGGCGGCGGCAGTGGCGGCAGCGGCGGCGGCGGCAACGGCGGCGGCGGCAGCGGCGGCAACGACGGCGTCAACCACGACGACGACGACGACGACGACGACGACGACGACGACGACGACGACGACGAAGACGTCGGACGCGGCTGCGGCAGCGGCGGCAGCGGCGGCAACGACGGTGCCGACGACGATGACGACGGCGACGTTGAAGACAAAGGCAGCGCCAGCGGCGCAGACGGCGGCAGCGAGGCACGCGGGCGCGCGGGCAGGCGCTGTCCTCGGGAACAGCGGCCCTCCGCCCAGAACTGGCAGGGCGGCAGCGAGCGCCCGGCGTCCTTGGTGCCCTCCTGCGGCGGCTGCCAGGGGGGCAGGACAGGCCTCCTCCTCGGCATCCTCCTCGGCATCCTCCTCCTCGGCCTCCTCCTCGGCCTCGTCCTCCTCCTCCTCCTCCTCCTCCTCCTCCTCCTCCTCCTCCTCCTCCTCCTCCTCCTCCTCCTCCTCCTCCTCCTCCTCCTCCTCCCGCTCTCCACGTTCATCCGCACCTCCCGCTCCTCCCGCTGCTCCCGCTCCTCCCGCGCTACATCCTCCTCGTCCTGCACCTCAAGCAGTTGTGACTCGGAGGGGACGGCCGGAGCTGTTCTCGGGGCCGCGCCCCCGCACTTCCACGCACTGCTTGAGGGACTCGACCCTGGTGCCCTCACACCACCAGAATCCCACCACTAAGACAGGGGCATTTCCTCACTCATACCAGTCATGGCGTCAGCACAGCTGTGGACTTTTGGCCGGCGGACGCGAAGACTCAAACGTCGGTCAAGCAGCGGCGGGGCGCGCCGGAGCACAGCAAGGCACAAAGGAGCGCGGGGAGGGAGGGCCAAATGGGGGAGGAGGGACAGAGGCACACTCAGACCGTGTAGGCTGCCGAGGGCGCTGTGCGCGCGCAGAAGAAGTCCCTGCATAGAGGATGGCGGAGCCTCACGAGACGTGGGGATGCCAGGCAAGGGTGTGGGAACTTGCAAGCGCCGCCGATGCCAGTGGACCTCCGTTTTGGTCATGAACCACCTTCGGTGTGCAGGTCGACAGAACAGAGTCGAACTGCTCAAGCGCCCGAGAGGCAAGCACGTCTGTTCGAACCACCAGTAGGACACCCTGGCCATTGAGGACGACTTCCACGACCGTCTTGACGAGGCGGGGCAGCAGCAGCACAAGGGGACCCTCAAGAGTCACAGCCGCAGCTCCTCCCCTGCAGCTAAATGGTCAGTGGAGGTCGCAGTCGCTCCGAGGCCTGGCAAGAGAGGAGCCAGCGAGATCTCCAACCGCTTGGAGAAGGCGCTCGGGGCCACGAACGATCAGGAGCTGCAGAGCTGCAGAACACCTCGAAGGCCCAGATCGCCCGACTCTCCAGGGATCCTTCCCCGTCGACGGCGGCTGCGGAAGGCAAACGGCATGTTCTGGGGAGACCAAAAGGTACCAATACCGCTGCTCCCTGGACCTCTCCCAGGATGCGTTCTGGGCAGGATTTCCAGGCGAATCCAGCGGTGGCGACGAGGACCGCACAGGAGGCCCGAAAAGAGGAAAACGCGAGGGCAGGGTAGTGTTATGGGTACCTTTTCCTTCTCTGAGCGTCGGTGCTGCGCTTGCGTTCTTCGTTGGCGGCAGCCGAGCAGCAGGAGCAGCACGCAGCCCTCGAGCTAGCCGAGGCCGAGGAGGCCAAGGCCACCGCAGCGAGAGCCCTCGAGCAGGCGGAAGGCCTGCAACCGCCCGACGCTCCCTCGTCCCGGAAGGACCCCCCATGCTCGAGCTCGAATGGTGAGCGTTGTCTTACAGTCGTGGCGTTGACCTAAGGAGCCCTAAATGGGGAACAAGGTCCCTTTTTTCCATAAGTTCACCTTCGATTTCCTGTCGAAAGCATAAGGAAAGCCTGAGGCAAGCTGTGAAACACTTAAGGAACGCGGAGCCCCTCCCCAACGAAAAGGGTTCCTTCTTCAGGGCCCCGGCTGCATTCGGCGTGTCGACATTGGGCGGAAAGGGGGGGGGAGAGGGGGGGCGGTCCGGCTCCGGGCCTCTGCTCAATTGTGGCCGTTTGCAGCAGTGCTTCCCGTGGGGTAGGCTCCGCCCGCTCGGAGCGGGCGCCAAAAACAGCCAGGATCTACTCCACGGGGGGAGGGAGGAGGGGGTGCGGTGCGAGGGCCCGCGGCGATCGGCAAAACAATGATCAAGAAAACGATCACATGGGACGAGGGTTGCTTCGCTCATCTCGAACAGATGGAGTGCACTCCCCAGGGAGAGGAAGCCTGGGGGGCAAGAGTGACTTGCACCAGGACCTGCTCGCCACCCATGGCCAGCTCCGGGGCAAGGAGCAGGAGATCACTGGCCTCAGGTCGGGCGTGTCCTCCTACAGGCGGATCTTGGACGAAAACATGAAAAACAGTCAAATTATACACCAAAAATGCCCAAAAACACTCGACAAAAATCGTCCCCATACAATGTTTTGCTTATTGTTCAAGCTTCCCCCTGCAGAGGAGCATGTGCCCGACCCATCACTGGCCGGCTCGAGCAGGCCCACGGGATCCAGGGCCGGGTCTCCGAGAGGCGGGCCCCGAGAGGGGGGAAAAGAAGAGCGCCGAGGAAAGCGCTGCAAGGCCCGCGGGGGCCCCCGGCGCGGAGGACCGGGCGCCCACCCCCGAGGAGCATGCGGCCGAGGAGCTCTCAAGGGACGCACAGAGACAGACTAGCACAGGGCAGCTTCTAATACATAGGATGTTTGAAAATGTCGGATTTTAATGCATGATTAGTTTATGAATAAATGCATGCACGAGCTCATCGTTGTTTTTTGAATGCTAAATCCCTGCATGTTTAATACATGATCCGCACGCGGAGCATGTATTAAAACCGGCACTGTACTGTGGATGCCATGACAAAAGACACTCTAACAATCCGATCATTGAATGAAGGATGTGTTCAAAGTGTGTAAAGCATGTTCTAAAAAAGTCTCAGACATCTATTTTTCCAGATTGAAAACATGTTTGAAGACATGTTCTGGCCATCTGGAAAATATTTGGCAGCACGCTTCCTCTCCATTCATCGACTTCCACAAGACTAGTACTACGCGTCCTCCTTGGAGGCGCACGTCCGACCCGAACCTATAGTATACCCATATTGTAGTGCATCGTTTCCCGAGCGGTGTGGCCAGAAAGCGCCCGCCGCGACGCATACACCATAAGAATATCTCGTTGCGCGCGTCGCTCCTGGGGGGGGGCGACGCGCATGTAGTACGGTGGAGGTTTCAGATAAGGGTGCCTTCGATAAGGAACCCAGGGTCTCGCGACCGAGGGGCGGCCAAACGTGGACCACCCACCTCGCCTTGTGACAAGAAGGAATGCGCCAGGGTCTGGGTCCCAGAAAGACGCTCCTTATCCAATGCCGCCGCCCCATGAGTATGTTAGGGGTGACGCCGAGCTCCAGGAGCAGGAGCGCCCGAGTGACCAGCGCTTCGCTGACGAGGCGAAGAAAAACTCTCGCAGTGCGCGCTTCACGGCACAGCCGGAGGCGGCGCGGGCCAAGTGCAGGGGCAGCGCAGCTGTGGCGGCCTCCTCTTCGTCGGCGGCAGGCGGCAAGGAGGCGAAGCCGTCGTGGCAAACGACTTCGGGTGCTCCTCAAGCCCGTCACTCAGAGGAGGGTGAACAACTCACCCACAGGTTCCAGGTGAACGTTAGGTCACTCACGGACCAAGGTCTGGAATTCCTCGCCGTACCCCTTCTGAGGTCTCCTTGAGCTCCACCCCCGATGAACTTCAAGATTGGGACGAAAAGGCCAGGCAGCTCGAGCTTCGATTGTATCACCATCCCACCAGAGAGTCTGGAAGAGTTGCCCCCGCATGCAATCAAGATCGGTCAAATGAAGGTGGTGAAATGTTCCTTGGGCGTAACAATTTGCAAGCTCACGTTCTGCCTGAAACTCGGGTTGCAGCTTCTCGGTTGTCCGACGCAGAGTCCTCGACGTTGGATGGCTTTTGTCCCCATGGTGGTGCACATCTCAGGTTTCAGTCTCAGCGTGGTTCTTCTGTACGCGCACCCCTCGGTGGCCATGAAGGGCAAAACAGGGCTCGTTTCGGACGCCTTGGGCAACTTCTCTTGTCGGGGAATTTAACATGGCCCCAGCTGTCTTGCAAGCATCCAATACTGCCCAGAAAAATGACGGAATAATCAGTACCGTTAATGGCCAGAGCGGAACGTGTGCCCGGGGAAAAATCTGATTCCCTGTTTGATTACATGCTCTGTTCTCCGTCAGCTGCCCCATTCGTCAAATACTTTTGGCTGGTGCGAGATGTGTGTGTGTGTGTCGGAAGCCGCGTGTTGGATTCAAAATTCTCTTAGGAGCTCGGGGCTTCAGCCGAGCACAAGAGCCATCGGGGTCCCCTGTAAGCTAGCCCAGCTCCCGATGCCCAAGTGCGAGCCCACCAAAGGTTCTAGGAGATCCCTCGCCAAAACTCAGCGTCGGACGGCCCACAAGATGCTGTACAGAGATGCGCTAGTCACATCAAAACTCTTTGTCGGGGACTGTGTTCAGTCGGAGTCTCACGCTGGGGTAGGAGGTCGCATAGGGACCCTCATCCCCCAGATCTTGATGATCCAGATTCTTGATGAAAGGCCAGACGACCCGTGGGGAGATGAGCTCAAGGTTGTTCCTGATGCCGATCTCGGCAAGAGGTGTAATATCCCGTCTCCTCTCGCCGCTACCATCCCCTCTCCCGCACCCAGGCCTGCTGGTAACCCCGAGGCCACACAGGGACAGTGTGACTTGCCCAGGGCCTTTGTTGAGACGAGCGCAGAGGCGATATGCGGACTCCCTAACCCCAGTTCGAGCCAGCCCCCCCCCATCACACCCCGTTTAAGTCGAGCACCGGATTCTAGCACTCAAGAGCCCGAGCAAATTCCGTCTGGTCCTGGAGACTCCTCCCCCGAGCCCTCGTTGCAGGTCCCCCGGGAGCCCTGCTCCAGGATCCAATCGTCTAGAAGATGTGTCCCTCATCTGCTGGACTCCGTAGCAGATAGGCTGGAGGCCACACCCTCTGCTACAGTATCAGCTAAGCACGCGTCGTGGACCACAATGGCGGAACGATATACCTCAGCGCACCGCTCTCGGTCCATGTAAGGAGGTTCGAAGGCGCATGGGCCTCAGCTCGAGGTGCGCAAGCTGCACGAGACTGCCTATAGACGACAGCTCTACCTGAGAGATGCCAAAGCTCCATGGTGGACGCGAGTGTGTACTGTGGTGGCGGGTGCGGTGCGACACTTAGCTCGTGAACACGAACACTTCCAGCTACAGGAATATGGCACGGCTTGTCACA